ACCCATCCAAAGCTGTTACCCCGCAACCGAAACCCAGCCACAGTTACTAAACACCAGCGAGAATAACAGCAGAAAGTCCACCCGCAGCCAGAACACTTCCCCTTCCATATTCAACACCCAGAAAAACTGCAACGTTGCTAACCATTGTCGGCTGTTTGCTAACGTCTCTCCCTCAACACTCGATAAGCATTCTAACGCCCATCTCCGCCGAACAGAGACTGCCCATCTGAACGAGCTACTTTCGTCGAAGCAGTTCGTCAAGGTTCAGAAGCAATTCTATCGCGACTACTCATCCGTCTCCCTGGGAGCTCCCCTGAAAAGCTCAGACGCACCGCTGCTCGGTGACTTGTGCAATCAGTATCGGGCCATCTTAGCGTACACATCGGCGGACGTGGTGCCAGGACAGAAACAAGGCCAACCACAGCATCAGCAGATTCGAGGGGCGCACAAGCAACAGGAGACTCGAATGCAGCAACAGGAGGAGGTCGGCGGCATGGCGCAAAAGCTGGAGTTCAAACGGCTGCCCACGAATGTGGTGCCAAAGCATTACGAGTTGCTGCTGCAGCCCGATCTGGAGGCTTTCACCTTTAAGGGCAAGACAATAGTGCAAGTCCAAGTGAGTAAAGAGTCTCGTTATCTCTCTTGTCTTCCTCCTCTCTCTCTCTGTCTCTCTGGAGTCTTTCTTCGCTTTCACTTTCACATTCTCCTTGTTTTGTTGTTTGGCATTTCTCTTTATGCTGCAATTTGCATACACCACGAGGAAACGGTTTCTTTGTTGCTGGGAATGCGCAGAATGACGGGGCATAACTGTAAATCAACGCCAAATATGGACATATGTATGTGTCCGTGGCCTAGTCGCACTTTTGATACTCTCTTTATTGTGAGAGAGAGAGAGAGGGAAAGAAATATAAATCAATGATGGCAGGATTTATGGCAATTATTCATAAAATACCAATCACTAATGGGGATATTGTATCGATTGGAATAATTATAGTACCGTACCTTCATATTTCATTGGAATTCTCTAATGCGAACAACAAAATTACCCTTCCTTATTCCTCATCAGAAAGTAGCTCCACAGGTAGTGCCGTTTTGGTCGTTTTGTTCTATTTTTTTTTTGTGTGTTTTGTTTTGGGAGTGTATAAATTTGGCAAAAACGAGTTTCGGGGATTGAACGAGAGGAGGCTGGGGGGAGGAGGTTGTTGATTGCGACGGCTTAAGCCGGAAACTCGAAAATAAAGGCAACAAAGAAGCAAGAGAGGCAATTTCTATGACCTTGGAATAACTGTTTATGGCCGTTGTTCTACCATCTCCCGGCTAACTGTTTCTGTTCTAACGGGTTATTGACTCATTTCTTTTGCCGTTTTACCGTTTGCCCGTACCGGTTTCAGGTTAAGAAGCCGACCAAACAGATCGTCCTCAATGCCCTGGACATAATCATCGAAGAGGCGCAGCTGGAGTTCGAGTGCACCAAGATGAAAGCAGACCGCATCGTCTACTCCACGGACGCAGAGACGGCGACGCTGGAGTTCGAGAAGGTTATTCCCGCGGAAACGGCCGGCGTACTGCAAATGTCCTTTACGGGGGAGTTGAACGATAAGATGAAGGGCTTCTATCGCAGCAAATACTTTAGCGCCAGCGGGGAGGAGCGCTATGCGGGCGTCACCCAGTTCGAAGCCACAGATGCGCGTCGCTGCTTCCCCTGCTGGGACGAGCCCGCCATCAAGGCCACCTTCGACATCACCCTGGTGGTGCCCAAGAATCGGGTGGCCCTGTCCAATATGCCCGTCAAGAAGGAGGACGACCTGGAAGGCGGTCTGCGCCGCGTGCGCTTCGATCGTACACCCATCATGTCCACCTACCTGGTGGCCTGCGTCGTCGGCGAATATGACTTTGTGGAGGGAAAATCCGAGGACGGCATCATCGTGCGCGTCTTCACTCCCGTGGGCAAGCGGGAGCAGGGCCAATTCGCCCTGGATGTGGCCACCAAGGTGCTGCCTTTTTACAAGGACTACTTCAACATTGCCTATCCACTGCCCAAAATGGATCTCATTGCAATTTCGGACTTCTCGGCCGGTGCCATGGAGAACTGGGGATTGGTAACCTACCGCGAGACCTTTGTTCTCGTTGATCCCAAGAACACATCGCTCATGCGCAAGCAGTCCATTGCCCTCACCGTTGGCCATGAGATTGCACATCAGTGGTTCGGTAAGGGCCTTATTTGTCCCCATATTCTCTTACTTTAGTAATCTTTTGTATTCTCTTTCAGGCAACCTGGTTACCATGGAATGGTGGACACATCTGTGGCTCAACGAGGGCTATGCCTCCTTTGTGGAGTTCCTTTGCGTGCACCATCTGTTCCCCGAGTACGACATTTGGACGCAGTTCGTCACGGACATGTACACGCGTGCCCTGGAGCTGGATTCGCTGAAGAACTCTCATCCCATCGAAGTGCCTGTCGGCCATCCGTCGGAAATTGATGAGATATTCGATGAGATTAGCTACAACAAGGGCGCCTCGGTGATTCGCATGCTCCACGACTACATTGGCGAAGATGACTTCCGCAAGGGTATGAATATCTACTTGACGCGCCATCAGTACGGCAATACCAGCACCGAGGATCTATGGACGGCACTGCAGGAGGCTAGCTCCAAGAATGTGGCCGAGGTCATGTCCTCGTGGACACAGTACAAGGGATTTCCTGTGGTGAGCGTTGAGTCCGAGCAGAAAGGGAAGACACAGCGCATTTTGCGCCTTAGCCAAAGGAAATTCACGGCCGATGGCTCCCAGGCCGATGAGGATTGCCTGTGGGTGGTACCCATTTCGGTGTCCACCTCTCGCGATCCCACTGCGATAGCCAAGACTTTCCTGCTGGACAAACCATCCATGGAGGTGGTCCTCGATGGCGTGACCGACAGCGACTGGATCAAAATCAATCCCGGCACCGTGGGCTACTACCGCACGCGCTACTCAAAGGAAATGCTGGAGCAGCTGATGCCAGCGGTGAAAAATATGGAGCTTCCTCCTTTGGATCGGTTGGGCCTGATCGATGATATGTTCGCCATGGTGCAGGCGGGTCATGCCAGCACTGCCGACGTCCTGGCCCTCGTGGATGGCTACAGAAATGAGACAAACTACACTGTGTGGACAGCCATCACCAATTCGCTGACCAATCTGCACGTTCTGATATCCCACACGGATCTCATGGAGGACTTTCATCGCTTTGGACGAAACCTCTATGAGCCAGTGGCCCAGCGTCTTGGCTGGGAGCCACGCGAAGGCGAGAACCATTTGGATACGCTGCTGCGCAGCCTCGTCCTCACACGTCTTGTGTCCTTCCGCAGCAACGATGTCATCGAGGTGGCCCGACAGCGCTTCCGTAGTCATATAAACGGCACCCAACCGCTGCCCGCCGATCTGCGCACCACCTGCTACAAGGCGGCGCTGCAGGACGGCAATGAGCAGATTTTCGAAGAGATGCTCGCCCTGTACCGCACCACCGATCTGCATGAGGAGCAGGACCGCATCTCACGGGCCCTTGGCTGTAGTACCGATGCGAAGCTGCTGCGTCGCGTCATTGATTTCGCCATGTCGGTAAGTGTGCAAGTGTCACAAAATAATCGTGGTTCCCTGGGTATCATCCTTCATCTCCTCCTTAGGGTGAAGTGCGCGCCCAGGACTCTGTCTTTGTGATAGTTGCCGTTGCCATCAATCCCAAGGGCCGTGACATGGCCTGGGAGTTCTTCAAGAGCAGCAACAAGCAGCTCCTCGAACGCTATCAGGTAAATCTTACATTCCGTCTTTGTTTCCAAATGGGATCTTCATTCCCTTATTCCCTTTTAAGGGCGGCTTCCTGCTCACGCGACTGATAAAGTACCTCATCGAGAACTATGCCTCCGAGGAGAAGGCCAAAGAAGTGGAGGAATTCTTCAGGGTAACGCAGATACCCGGCTGCGAGCGCACTGTGTCTCAGGCCGTGGAGACAATACGCCTGAATGCAGCCTGGCTGGAGCGCGATCGCGAGAAGCTATCCACTTACCTGAAGAGCGTCTAGACATGGTCTCGCCCTCGAGCATACCAAAGCATTTAACAAACGAATCACAAAAGAGTAACCCCCAACAGCAAACACACAATTTGGCAGCAGCAATAGCAGCAGCAGAATAACCCAGAGCAAACCACAGCAGCAAGTTCAGCAGCAACCGCAACACCACCGTCGCACCGCTATCTGGCCACAACCGTCACAAACTACACACATCTCCCATTTACACATGAGAACCACATAGTCTTTATGCAAGAATACAACCACAGACTCCACTCCACTCCCCAACTCAAACCCACAACAAAAATGGAGCATTAAAGGCTTAAGCTTATGGAGTGTATCTCGTCGTATCACGTAACCTTCCCCTGGAAGTTTTACCATCTTCCAATTGAAACGAATATGTCGTCGGGCTTGTCAAGTTGATCGAGACATGCGTAGTCATCATTTCAACAGATCATCACAAAAATTTTCTGCTCCAGACAAGAAAGCAGCTGTTGCACTGTTAGCCATGTCTCTTTTCAGAGAATTTTTGTGAGAATCTCCGTTGGTATGGTAAGTCGATATCTCGCGGCCAACATGACGAGATCGACGATACATTCGTACCAGTTGGAGGATGCCAAAACTTGTGTTGAGTTTATTACTATAAATAAATGCAATTTCTAGGAAACGTTAAAGAAAACGTTAAACAAAAATCCAAATAGGGAATATTTTGCTGGCAAAATTCGGTTCTAGTTGAGAATTTGTAATATTCTGAGCTGTAATGTCGACCTATCCTTCTAATCATCGAGAGAGAGCGGTGAGATCAAAATGTTGCTGTACAAATTACAATATTTATACATTCTTTTGGAGAAAACCATCCACGAAATCCCCAAATTACGAATTCCGACAGATCTATTCGTTCTCTGGGTAGGGTCCCATAGAAACCTTCTCCGTAGACAAAACAATTTTGTATCAAAATTCAACATTCTTTTATAAATAAGGATAAACTTTTTGTACATGCAGGATACCGCGAGGGAGGATTCTATTTAATCTTCATTTCATCGTTGTTATTGTTGTTGTTGTTGTTGTTGAATTCCAATGTCTGATTCTTGCGCTTCAGCTCCTGGCAGTGCGACCAAAAGGTGACCAACCGCTGGTCACTGTTCGAGCAGAACTCGCGGAAGTCCTTAAGCATTTTCAGCTGAAAGAGCTCCCCATCGGCCGAGTTGCTGATCGTTTGGGCCTTCCACTTTTTGTTGGGTATCATATGGTTCCAGGACCACAAGAAGCCCACCTTTTTTGGCACATTCGTGTTGTTCGTGTGGCCATAGACGCAACGCGTGACATTTGCCTCCTGAAGGGTGGGCGACTCCACCTGGTAGTTGTTGGTGGCACAACTGCAAAAGAGATATAAATAAAAGATTAAGGGTAATTCATAGGAGATCGAATTAATTTCCTACCGAATCAAGGCAAACATGTTGCCTGTACAGTGAACATACTGGTATTCCTTGGGCAGCTGAAAAGGAATTGTTTAAATTACACATCGCTTTCACAGGTTTTGATGGCTTCACTTACGTCCTTGCCAATGCTATACTTCTTCTCCAGCACACAGGGCAGAAATCCAAACTTGGCCAAGATGGCTTCTTGAAGGAACAGCATGCGATCGGATCTGCTTTCCTCGGGGAATTCTGCGGAAAAACATTTCATGACGATCTCATGATTTCAATAAATCTCTATCCTCCTGCATACCATCGAAAAGAGCCGCTCCGTTGGGCAGGAATGTCACACAGAGTGGAATGAATATGGGTCCCCTCAATGGGTCCGACTTCTTAGTGAATGGTTCGGCCATAGGATCCGCGGGCACCGAAACCAAAAAGTTGAACTGATTTGCCTTACGCATCCACCCACCAATCTGTGAAAATCGGTAAAGATAGGGTTACTGATCGAACGATGGATGCCATTTAAAGTATCAGCGTACTCACCAAATCGGATACAATCGGACCCGACGAGGTCACCCACTCGACTACAATCTCGAAGGCAAAGCCCGGCTGCAGCACAGTGTGATGCTTCACGTGTCCCCACTCCATGCGATCGCTCTTCTGGTTCACATCGATCTCCAAATGCGACTGGCGATAGACGCGCTCTATAAAATATCATTAAAGCTAGGACTAAAGCAGTAAGAGATTATATATGTATGAAACCTACTATTACTGCAATAATCCGTCCAGGACTGCGGTGCTGGCGAGTCCCTTAGGAAATTGGGGACTGGTGTGATCACTGGCTCGTCGTGCCACAGGAAACTGCAGCCCTGGAATTCGATCTCCAGCCATTCATTTACAAAGGCACAGTAATCGTTCAATGGCGGGGCATAATCTGTTCGTGGAAGGAATATTAATATTAAAACAGATTTCCTAGCCGGAACTCAAATATCCGACCTACCTTTGGCATTCTTATCCTGCTGCACCACATAGTAAAACACGAATCCTGCCACCACAGGCTTGGTCCAGTCCCCAGAAGCATGACAGATCATGCGTTCCCTTCAAGAAAGCATTTTATGAATTGAAAATTGAAAACGAGCGGCTACGTTGTTAGCCGCGGCTCGACTTTTATACCCGGTACTCAGTGAGTATATTGCTCGAACTTTACATTCAAGAGGATAAAAAAACATAAAGGAACCACGACCACTTCTGTTCTTGCACTTGGCCTATCCACCCAATGATCTATTTGTATTCGAATTTTAAAATATTCATTTATCTGTTACCATTTTCCACTATATCTGTCTCTGTCTCTTTCATTTCTCACACCAACCCCAGCCGTTATATCTCCAAAGAGACAGAGACTGAGTAATGCAAATGGATTTCTTCATTCTGGTTATAGTAATAATCCGATCTGATCCAGATTCGGGGGTCTAGTAGATACGTGATCATTCTTTACGATTCTCTACAATTTTGGATGCCACAGATTTTCTCCAGGAGTCTGGATACAAAATTTGGTAGCCTTTAGCACTTATAGTCTCTGAGATCTAGGCGCTCATCAAGACGGACAGACAGACATGGCTATATCAAATCGCCTATTGATTGGCTGATCAAGAATATATATGCTTAATGGTGTCGGAAACGCTTCCTTCTGGGTGGAACACACATTCACTTGCACCACAAAACTAATATATCCTTTAACTCTTCGAGGAACGTGTATAAAAACGTGTTATCTATAATGAAAACCCACTTGCGCATGGCTTCCAAGAGTTCCAAAGGGTGTCTTCCATTATTGAGGCGTGTCTTCAGCCACATCAAGGCATCGTAGGACAGAAAAGTGCAGGAGGGCAGCGATTGAGTTTGAGAGAAGTAGCCAACACCATTCACAGGATGCTTCATGGCATCAAAGATCTCCAAGAGTGTGGCATTCGGACTGAACTTGATGTCCACGGGGAAGCTATCAAAGCACCACAGATCAGAGAGATTAGCAATGGAAGGGATCAGTCGAAAGTCAGACTGTGGCACTCACCCATCATCCTGATCATCTCTGGCGGCCAGTCCAGCGGCAGCGGCTGCATCCGTGGCAGGAAAGATACGCGATATCCGGCCATTGTCGAGCTTTGGACGTGCATTTATGCTATCAAATAAGAGAACAAAGATGGATTCAGAAGATCTGTGCGGGTTCAAGCCACTGTCTGAGGGATCTCTCTCCTCCTCCATGTTGGGGGGTCACATGTGTTTTTGTGTAGTGGTGTGTGTGGCTGGTGTTTGGTGGATTTGAGGACTCAGCATGCCAATTGCATTGTTGGTTATGGATTTCCGGATGGTATGTGGAGGGGTAGGGGGCGTGGAGTGTTATGTTGCAACTACGAGTAATTCAAATGATGATTGGGGAGGGGTGGGTGTGGCACAAACCTTTGCTGCGGTGAATTTAATAGATTATGATGCTTTTCTGTGATTCTAGGAGTGTCATGCTGCTGGAAAGCCAAATACCAAATAATATTATATCAAAAATATACAGAATACAACAACGAAAAGTAAAAGTAAATTAAACAACAAAGAATATTCAAACAAACAGAAAACCTATGCACAGGTGGTACGGGGGGATGCACAAAACAACAGGACTACAATATAGATACATAGCTGGCCAACAAAATATACAATATACAAAAGGAGAACACCAATCTACATGTAGTACCAACGATTATAGACAGTGTTCTTTTGTGTCCTAGAACCTTTGGTAGTACTCGTACGCCTAGTGGTAGAAATAATAGCCACCGAATAGCCGAATCCCTCACAGCGTATCGTGCAATTTATGCAGAGTAATACAGAGTGCGTGTGTGTTTGAGTGTGTGCTTGTGTGTGTGTTTGTGTGTGTGTGTGGGTGTGGGTGTGTGTGAGGCAGAGAAAGGGAGTCCTTAGATATAATATTGGAATCGATATAAAAACCTGGGTCGCTTCTCCGGCAATCGATTGCTACCGACTCGCTCCCGGAACGGAGAGTTCATGAGTCCCTGCCATGACAGGCATGGATCGATTTGGGGATCGGGTCAAAGACACAAGAGAGACATTCATTGGAAAGAGAGACAAAAACATTAGGTAAAGAGCAGTACAGTAGAGCTTATGGATAATTTGTATTTGAATTGGAATTTGAAATTAAAACGTGCGCATTGATTGAAAAAATTAGAAACGAATCTGAAATTGAAACAGAAAATGCGCATTGCATAGCAACAGAACAGAACAGAACAATTAAGATATTTCGAAACTAAATACAAAATAACAAAAGCTTAAACATTAGATATTTTTTTGTTTGAGAATAATTTGAGTAGATTGATAAGATAGATAACCTGATTAGGCTGTGGCCTGGATATAATGCTCGTACTGTGGCGTCGCTTGGTTAGACTGTGGGCGGTGGGGCTGTCCTGTAAGAGTAAGTGATGCGAAATATGCTCGAATAACATCAAGGATAAGCATAGAATGGAACGGAGAGCGGGTATTCCTTCTTTCAAATTGTTTTTTCTCTGCTCCATTTGTTCCCTCAGTTCACGCTCAATCTCTAATCATCATGCTTATTGGCTGCAGGCGGGATGAACCGAACTGAACTGAAGGATCAATGGACCCATCTCTAGAAATGCTTATCGATTGACCGACATCACTAGCAGGTCGATTAGTCAATTAGAAGACACACTTGGCAGTTGGGCAGTTGGGCATTTGGGCAATTGGGCAGTTGGGGAAAAAAAACTAAGTAAAGTAACAGAACGGGTAACGCAACAGAGATTCACAGAGATGCAGAAAGCCCCAAAAGCGGAAACATTTTAATCTTACTCTAGCCTTGCGGACAAACTGTCGCTTCAGCTTGCTGACCGCCTCGATTAGCCGCACAAAGTCGTCAACCTGCTCGCTGGTATTGTCCACGGTGACATCGGGAAAGATATCACAGCGCTGGCAGCTGGCAATCTTGCTCACAATGTTCTCACGGGGCAGCAGGTACATGCGATAACGCCAGTATTTCAGACTCTGTGGGATATATGCATACAGCCAGAAGATGAATCTACCACATTAAAAGTATTCAGTCATCTTGAGCACACCTCCATTAGTGGATAGTCCACATCGCCACGCGTGCAAATATAGAGATCCATGTGGTTCCAGTTGAAGTTCTCCAGTTTCTCCGTGGTAAAGTTCACTCCAGAGATCTCGTACGTCTCGTGCTGTGGTGCGTGGAATCGATACCGATAGTCCACATTGATGGGAGGATAGGGGTGCCTGAAAGTATAGAATTTCTATGGGATTACTATGGCCAAAATATCCTGCAGCATCTTCCACTCACCTGGGTCTGTAGCCCGTCACTGTAATGACAGAGCCACTTAGCGAGATCTTGTGGAAGATCCTGCCGATTGACAGCAGGTACTCCTTGTTGCTCTCACTGGGCTTTACCGGCAGCACTGCAGAGGTGGCCGAAGCGGCAGTTGGCCCACCGACGGAGCATGCCCCGCCAGAGCCACACACCGATGGCCTCTCCTCCCCGACAATCAACTGGAAGCCTTGGGCCAGCCGCTGGGACACAATCTCCTTGCACACCTCTTCGGTGGACAGCGGCTTGCGGTAGATGGCCCTGCTCTGGGCGTAATCGTGGTTCACATCATCAGGCAGCAGCGTGTAGTCGGAGATCACATAGTCGTTGTGCAGCGACCGCTTGTCGGGGAAGTAGTCCGTGGTTATGGGCAGGCAGGCGGGGATCGTGAGCGATTTCCAGTCAACGCCTGCAAGCGGAGCCGCCGAAAGATTAGCGATTGTCCACAACGAGCTTTGCGGGTGTGAGAGGTGTCAAGGAGTACTCAAATAGAGAAAGCCAACGCCGCGATACAAAAGTAAACCAAAAATAATACATCGCTTAAGCTAGAAAGTAGAGAGCGAGAGCGAGAGCAGGAGCGAGAGAGAGAGAGAGACCAAGGTGCTCCCGCAGCTACGGTAATCAAAATCAAAGGAGGGTGGGGTGGAGTGGTTTGGGTTGGGTTGGGTTGGGTTGGGTGGGGGATCCCATGGAACAGGATGTGGAGCTGTGGGCTGATCCGCCACCAACGGATGGGTTAGGCGTGTGTGGTACGTGCATGTGCATAAGAGATACAAGGTACAAGTGGGCAAGAGCGAGGGCGAGGGCGAGAGCGTGCGGGGCATGCTACACTATTTTAAACTACAGAAACAGCGACAACGGGCTGTTCCGCTATTCGCTATTCGCTATTCGAAAACAAAAACCACCTCCCTTTGGGTGCGTGCATGTGGTGTGTGACTTGTGGTTTTGTTTTTGTGGTTGTTTGTGGATAAGTGCGGTGGGTCTACGATTTAGGCTACAATTAATTTGTGGATGAGTACTACATGCATACGGCGTAGGAGTAGGTGCTGGCGCGCGCTGGGTTAAGCGGGGGGTGAGGTGCAAAGCAAAGGTAGTCGTAGTCGTAGTCATAGTCGTAGTCATAGTCGCAGTCTACAGGCGGCATATCCTTCATATCCTTCCCCCGGGCAGGCATGTTTGCTCATCATTTGGTTCTAGATTAACATCTCTCCATCAGACAGTATAACAAATAGCTAAACAATTATAAAGATTTCAAAACTTCAGTACCCTCCCAGAGTTTTCCTATAATTTCAACACAATTTCTTGCTGTGTGAAAAGTATCTTTATCGAAAATTTAAGAGGTTAACCGGCAATAAGCGAATTAGCTATCATTTAACTATAAGCTCATTCGCGAACAATTATTCTGCTTAATGATTTTCCCCATTTAAAAGTAAACTGCTTTAGTCTTTACCATTTAAACAGGAAACACTGTACCTAATTTATCGCTAAAGCTAGGCTCTGTAAAACCTATAAAACTGTTCTAAAACTGCTTGAAAATATTATATATAACTTACTAACAGGACTCATATATATTTGGCAAGCAAAAGGCTCTGATAAAACGGACAGTCCTTATGACATTACAAGGATTGTCATGGATTTTGGAACCACACAGAGAACACATATCGGGGTGCGGTTTCACCGAAAGAGCTCCCCATTCTCTTCGTTAGACTACAGTCTTTGATGGGATGGGACACTACTGAATAAAATAGTTCTACAAAATTTATATTCTACAGATACAAAATATACAAATACAATGCGGTTTCAAGGCGGATCTAAGGTCTACTGTGCTTCCAAAAACTATATCTAAAATGTGTGGTGTGTGCGTTTGTGTGTGTGTGTGTGTGTGTGTGTGTGGATGCTTTGCTAAATGCTTTTTGTACACAAAAAAAGTACGATTACTTGTGAAATATTTGTATTCCAAACCTATGATGATTTTTCCTTTGCCAACAACCTCGGCCTCGGTTGCTGCCGCCGCCGCCACCGCCGGCTCGAGCGGGGAGTCGCCTCCAAAGTGATGCTCGGTCTCGACAATGGGCCGCAAATGTTTGCCCGCCGCCGCAGGATTCGCAATAACTAAACGAACGATCGATATGGGTGGGTGGGGGTTTTTTTAATTGTAATTTTCATTTTGTTAGATCCAATTGGAGTTCGTTGATCGATTGATTGGTCGATCGCGGTGGATGGCGGTGGGAATATGGCGAATTATACATAAAGTTAATTAAAAATTCAGTTTCCGATCGATTTTGCTCGCGCAGTTAGGAATGGGCTACGTAAAATGCATTAGTTCGTTTCCGATTTGAATAAAATACATATATATAAAAACCATATATATATATGGAGTGGTTATGGCTTCAAGGGTTCAAGGGTTCAGTGGTTCAAGGGTTGATGCGGTTAGTGGGAGCTACTGTTTCTACTACTCCTTCGAGCACAGGAAGGCGGTCGAATCTCAACCAGAAAGACCACAATGCTGACCAAAAGGCCGCACATAAACAAACTAAAGGCTGGGGCCAGCAGATTGAAGGCCAACGGACGAATATCGTCCAGGAACTCCTCGGCGCTGGTGAATTCCTGAATGTAGCCGCCGAGGCGTGCACTCTGATAGCTCTCTTTCATCCACACAAGCAGCAGGCCCGCCTCCTGCACATGCAGTGCAAAACGATGCAGTGGATCCTTGAAATGGGAGTCGATGCGCAGCTGGAACTGAGCCGCAAAGGTCCCATGGCACAGCGACGAAAAATAGAAGCGCTTGGTCTTCAGGTAGCGCTGCTGGACGCTGTAGAAAAACCAGCGAAAGCTGCTAATCGGATAGATGTAGCCCGGATCCATGTTAATGCGACGCGTCGCGAAGGTCTGGGCATCCGTTACGCTGAACATCCGCCGGAACTCCTCCGCATGGCCAAAGGTGCCCACAATGAGTTCCACATCCAAGGGTAGTGCGAGAATGGGGAATGGCAGCCGGAGAATCTCGTCCAAGCTGCTGGGCAACTTATGGCTGAGCGTCACCGTCAGGAAAGATGTCAGCTTCGTGGAATACAACTGGTAGATCAAACAGACCCCAAAGAGCACCAGGTAGCAGGTCACAGTGTTGAGTACACTATGGTGGTGAGATCTACTGAGGCGCCAGCCGGGGACTCCGATTAACGCCCACAACTGGGAGTCCGGCACGAGCCAACGGACGCCGAAAAAGTGCAGCACGAGCAGGATCAACAGGACACTTAGCCACACGGACCATTGAAAGGGCAGCCAGACGTACAGAGTCCGAGAGATCTGGTTGTCCAGGGGTATCATAAAACAACGACTCGCCAGCCGTACTGGATAGGAGTAATCCACCTCTGTGGATGCCTGCAGCGTGTCGCACAAATGGGGACTCAGCTCCATGCGATTGCTGGCTATCAAGTCGATAATGGCAGGCATATTTAGCCACCGCGACCCATTCACCAACAAGGGATGCACCTTCAGGGTGACATTCAGTTTGGCCATCAGCTCATTAATAATTTTTCCACCCGCTCCGTCCAACCGCAGCTGTTGGTTGCGCGGATCTCGCGACCAGAAGCTGTTCGGAATATCCAGCTGCACGGCCAGATGCAGCTCGTAGCCGTTGAAGTTCTTGCGATTGGGTTTGGGAAAGATCTCCTCCAGATCGTACGAGGAGACTTCTTTCATGCGTTTTATTTTCATCTTGGGATAGGGATCCATCTGGTAAGCCCATCGCTGTGCCGTAACCACCAGAGCGGAGCGAAATTGCAACTGCCAGAGCAGCTTGAAGAACTCCCCCAAAACGGGAAGCGATTCGTGCTCCTTCAGCAGAAACAACGTCTTGCTGTAGCGGCGTCCTCGAGCTCGTTTCGCCTGCAATTGGATCACTGGGTCCCTCGAGTGCCTGGCAAACACCACATACAGCGTATCCTCATCCTGGAGGGCACTGAAACACACATGGACGTCCACATCTGTGGCCGTCATTTGGGGCAGCAGTTGGAAGTGCATGCTAGCATTGGCTCTAAGCTGCCGATGAAGGCCATCCAGATAGTCGGGGCTGATGGAGTCTCTGCTATTGACAATGCTGATGGCTTGCAGGCGGTGCACGTCTCCAATCCGGTCCAAGAACAATGCAAGCTGCTCGGGCAGCGTAAAGTTTATCTCCTGCTCTCTGCTCTGATGCGGCAGAAACAGCAGAATCGCAATAAACTGGAGCCACATTACTCCCATTCGAGGCAAGAGTCAATCACCAACTGAACTTAGACTGGGATACGCTCACCAGACAGTGGCTGTCTGTCCTTAAAGATATGATCTTTGAGCAATCAGTTCTGTGATTACTTACCCGTGGTAATTGCTGGCGTCCACTCCTGCTCGCCGGTGGCTCCCCAGAGATACGATTTGGCCTGCGTTGCCGTCAGATTTGGGACATTTGCAGGCAATGCATTCAGCAGAGAGTTCTGTCGCCTCTTGAAAACTGCAATTGGCGGAAAGATAGGGAATTGATTTTAGACGGAAATGGGAAAGGGGAATGAAATCTCTGAGCTCACTCACAGTCGATCTTTTCATCGCCCATCACAAAGCTGTGCGAGGACACCGATTTGCTTAGCATGGAGTGCGTGGATAGCTGGTCGTACTGCTCTTCCGGATCGCAGGAATACTCCGTATCCGTCTCGTTGTTATTGGTGGTGCTGCTCTGGCTATTGTTGGGTATCTGCTGCAGCGGACGCTGTCCCGCTGGTACGATTTTTGCAGGCACTGCTTGGTAATGATGCTGCTGGATGAGCACACCCGTCGGTCCCTTGGGGAAAATGTGCGTCCAGCGGCGGCGATTCGATGTCAATTTGATCGTCACTTGAGAGGGATCAAAGGGATTGATCAGGGCACGTCCGGGACGCACAATTGGCGCAATGCTGACAATCGTTCGACGGGAGTTCTTCTCCGAAGCCAGGGATTCCGAGAGATTTGTGGTATCAGGCTGAGGGAGAGTTGAGTACAAGTTGGAGGACTTTATTGGGAGGAAATCTTTTGAGCGACATACCAGTGCCGCCAGCATGGCAGAGGTGCCATGATGTATATCCGGATCAGACATTTTGCGTCGCATGGCCGGAATCTGTGTGGGCGTGAGATTCTCCCAGTCGTTGTTACGATATGCATAGGTTTCCAGACTAGGTACCGATGTTTTCTTGGCCCTTACCACGCGCTGAAGGGAGCTGAAAGGAGAAGAGTATTTATCAGCGAGAGTGGGAGAGAGATTCAACTCAGTTGGAGGCTTACCAGGTGCTCTGTGCCGGCAATGGCTGAAAGATCTGCTCATCATACGCATCATAGTCGAAAAGAGAGTTGTGCTTGTACTCCGACTGCTTGCAGCTGAGGAAATTCCTCTCATTCTCCTCTCCTTCGTCCGCGTTGAGCGCTTGATCGGACACAAAAAGCGGCAGCTTGATGCGGGGTATGAAACTGGAGTACGCGATCTTCTTGTTTGTGGAATAGAAGCTCAGATTGATCCAATGCGGCAAGGAGTAATCATCGGCGGATGTCAGGGTGGTGTCTTTGTTGTGGAACTTTAACAGCGGCACTGCATGCAGCGGCTGCTCGCCAACGCAAACCAGATCGCTGCCCACGCCGTTGTCGATGATGCGCTGCTTGGTGATGTTTGTCAGCTCCCTGTCCACCGAGAAGACACCCACGCCGGGTGTAATCACCACCGAGAGCTGTCCGGTGCGATCGAATGTGCGATCCAGGTAATGCTTCTCGAATGTATTCAACGAAATGTTGAGAACCTCAAGGAAATTGCCCTGCGTGGCAGTGGAGTTTGTGGCCGGGGGGATCTTCATGTGCTGGCGCTCATGATAGCGCAGCACTGTCTCCTGGTAGGAGGTGAAAAGCTTCCGCAGCTGCCCCAACACCGTGCACCAGTCGTCGTTGCGCTCGTTCTGAATCGCCACGCGATAGAAATCCTCGTAGAAGCGACCCTTGTAGTCCAGCTGCAGGCAGTCGCGCATGTGCTCTGGGAACTCATCCAAACTCTTGGCTGCATAGAAGGTGCGCGAGAACAGGACGATGGTTACCTCATGGTTGCAGCTCAGCTTTTTCCACTTTTGGAAGAGTTCGGTGAGAAACCCATTAACTGCCTTCTCAAAATACAAGTCGCCATGGATGTCAAAGTCCCACATTTCCGAGGACATCTGCAGGAAGAGGTACACCATGGAAGTGCTGCTGCGGAAGACGATCTTTGTGTCGTCGGTGATGACGCCGCTGGCCACGCGTTCGCCCTGGGACCACATTTCGTACACCTGGCAGCGTATCTGCATGTCGTTGTAGTCAATCTTCTTGTTCACATACACACAGGTGTCCGTCTGCAAGGGGAAAGGGAATCCTCAAGAATAGCATCCTCAAAGGATGTAGGCCTTGGCTTGCTTACCAAATACGTTTTCAGGCGCCACATCTCAGAGCGGCCCATGTACTGATCCTTGAAGGTAATCTCTATGGAGTCGAGGGCTACATCGGCTGGATTCACTATCCGCATCACCACATTGGAGTAGGGCCTCAACTTAAAGGCAACGGCAATGCCCGACTCGATGCTTATCACATCACGGCCACAGCTACCGCTGAACTCTGTGATCTGCAGTAGCAGATGCGTGCCGTTCTCGTCATCTGGGACATAAATCTCCACAACATCGCCTACATTTGCGTTGGGGTGGTCCTTCAAGTTCATCACGAGGTCCGCATCTGCACAAAAATATTCAACAGCAGTGAAATTTGCGCAATTTATGTGCTCACACTTTTCAAATGTGTTTGCTTACCGTACGACTTGTTGCAGCCACGAGTGTGTGTATTCAGCTTGTAGAGCTTCATATTTTTGATGCGCTGGCCGACGCAAACGCGATTAAAATGTTTAATTTACCGGCCAATTATGTTATTCGCATTCTGAAATCTTCTTTTTTCGTGTTTGTTTTGATGGTGCGCTCCTTCTCTGTTCTTTGGTGTTTTAGTGCTGTGCAACGTCGCAACAATCGCCGCCAAAAACTATTGAATTGAAATTTTAAATCAATTTAAATAATGCGGTATTTTGTTAAAAATACAAATTTTCGAACGTCCTTCAATACTATTGAACTTTTTCTTTCGGGAAGATTTGCAAAATCTCGCGCTCCATAATTTTGATGTCTTTGGATGTTAGGTGCAGCTGCTTTTCGTTATGATAGGTGCTGAATTAAGCTCCGCCGCTGAATCCGGTCCAGCTCCTCCTTCTGACCCGTGCACCTGAGCAGGGACTGACTTTTTCTACCGCCCGCTTGTAGATATCTAGTACTGTCGCAATATCCTTCCGCGTCTCTCTTTGTTTAGCACGCAGTGGCGTGGGTTTGGCTGGGCGTGTCAGCCCACCCACAACTCCGACGATCCAAGTGAATAATGTTATGGCATCTGGATGGCCCTGTTTATTAATATCATCCACCATACCCTCTTGGGTGTTGTTATTGTCGAATTTTGGGGTAAATTCGTCAGGAAGATATGGGATAGAAAATCTTGTTTTTACTATTTCTTTAATTTAACGAATTTATCTTTCGATGGCCGCTGTGACGTTCGCAGCCGGAGAAAATATTTTGGGGAATTGTGCATCCTTTTTGAATCAATTTAAATGCCACGGTATATATATGGGGCTAAGACGGCGTCCCATTTTACACGGTATTTTATGGGGTTAAGCGGCTGTTGTTTATACGAGACGGGAATTCATGAACATTCAAACAAAACCAGTTGCCAAATTAGCACGAATAAACTGTTTAGTTATGTCGAGGAAACAGCATTTTTGTCGCATTCATTCCCAGTAATCGTTTTCATTGGCTCTATTATGTTTTAATTTTGTATTAGACTAGTGTTAGGAAACGTTGAATTGCCCATGGTTCCATGGTTTATGCGAAGCATAAATACAAGAAAAGAACCCCTTCCATATGCTTGTGCACACGTTTGACCATGAATTTTATCAAAGCAATTAGAGACTCGAAATTAACACAGTTTGATTGGTTGTTGTTTTCAATGAATAATTTTATTGGGTCGCAAATATCAGTGAGTACATTTCGACAGTAAATTTTGTTAAAGACAGTCGCCATTTTTGCCTGGATATAATAAATCCTCAGTTCAAATAATTCGCATAGCATACCATTATGCACTTCGACTCCTCAACGCAATCCATCATCTACTCCTCCTCCTCCTCCACCTCCGCCAGGGTTCGGGTTCGTTTCGCAATTTATTTGTTGATTAGAACGCTACTCTACTCCTCTGTCGGGAAGCCGTCGCTGACGACAAAGATCATTTCGGCCTGATAATTTTGCATTTATTATAATTTTTTGTTTGTTGTTTTTACTACTTATAGCGAGGGTTATGTATACATTTGAAGGCGTTGCATTCGCTTTGATTGGGGGCGTCAGGGGGTCATTTTTAACGTTTAGGTCGCTCTCCAGGATGCGCGTTATTTAGTTTTTTTGTGTGTTATTTTAGTATGAATGAATTTGGGGGTATGGGGAATGGGGCAAGGGGCATGGGTCATGCAATTCTGTAACAATTAAAAGTGGGGAAGGGAGGTGTTCGTGTCGTTGTTGTTATCGTTATGGCCATCGTTCGTTCTCGTCTCATTCAAAATATCTCAACACTAAGCTTAAACATTAGACAGAACCACGGAAACAGACTCCTAAAAGCTAACTAAATACGTATGAGCTACGATTAAACATTAATCACTAAGTTTTGGAGACATTGACGGGGGGACATTGACGTTAAGGGAACATCTCTCGACTATGAGTTTTTTTTACATTGCAACAGTGGCCAGGACGACTGTAATGTCATCTGGCTTGCCACCGCGTGCCTGTATATTGTTGCGACGAGCGCTGAGGGCAAAGGGCGAGAGGAACTCGCTGTTGAGGGACAGCGTGCGGGCCATCAGGGCCAGGCTGTTGGCGGTCATCTGTAGCTTGACGGGATCCCGTTCGCCCTCCACATCGCGCAGCACATCCAGCATGAGGTCCTCGGGCACATTGTCGAAGACGCCATCGGTGGCGATGAGTATAACATCGCCATCCTCCACGGGGAAACTCATGGTGTCCGCCGACTCGGGGCTATCGCTCAGCACGTTCGGGCCATGGCCGGGCGGGGGCAGGGATAGCTGGAAGGGCGTGTTGAAGTAGTGCTGTTGCTCCTCAGACTTGTGCACCACCTCGCCCTGCCTCACCACCATGAAGCCACTGTCTCCGATATTGGCAGTGTGCACCGTTTTCGTCTCCCGATTGAGGATTAGCACGCAGGCAGTGCTGCTGCCCAGAATGGGCTTCTTCTGTTCCATCAGCTCGCAGTAGCTGTACGCCAGCAGATTGACGGGTCGCTGCGGGTTAAAGTGACTGCACTGCACCAGGCGCTCGCATGTGCGCATCAGGAAGGAGGAAAACTCGCCCGGATCGATGCCGTAGCTGCGCCAGCCTCCGACACCGTCGGCCACGCCCATAACATCGGCCTGCTCTGTGGATGCCTTGAACCAGGAGTCCTCGCCATACTTTCCAGGCTTGTACTTGTGGCGCAGGTTGTCCTTGGCGAATCCACAGACCACAGACACGAAATGTGGCCGCGGTGAGGCAGACTTGAGAGCACCTTCGCCACCCTTGCTGGCCGCAGCCCCAGTGGCAGACTCCAAGAGTGTGGAAAAGCTGCTACGCAGGGCCCGCGATATCATACGCGATGTCCAGTGAAGCGAATGCATCGCTCAGAAAACTAGTGTGGTCTCGTGGTTTGGTCGGTCGCGTCAATTTGGATTTTCACTTTCGTACATATAGATATCGATTTTACAACTTGTCGTGCATGAAAAACGCGTCGTTTGGCATCAGTCGCATGCCCCGCTTTCGTATCAATAGCTTTTTCGGTGATTGAACTCACAATTTTTCGAATTTTCTAATTTACGTTCCAATTAAATGCGAAATGTTATGTGATACACTTTTTATCCACACCTCCGTCAAATGTCACTTTCGCAGTGTTCAGCAGCTCATAATGATTAAACGAACTTAACCCTCTAAGTCGCACACTTTTTAAACAGGTGAACAACTTGAGCTAAAACACGGCAAATATTACTGTCCGTAAAATCTTCTTGGAGATCCATCCTAATGACCCCTAACTACCTCGATATTTTGCATCTTAACTTTGCTACAATTCTTCAAGTTTCATCACTTTCATGGAGTGTATTTTAACACCCTTTGGTCGACAATGGGTTAATCGTTCTCTGTCCATGATCGGAATTCATGTTCCTCGATTTTGATATTCGGCTTAATATTACTAGCTAGCTAGAGCTTTCAGCCCTGATCACATATTTGTATCCTATTGATGAATCAATTTTTCACTAGATATGCTAATCTTAAACTCTGTTTTTTATAGAATGTTTATGAATAAAGATTTAAACAAAAAAGGTCAAATCACAAAACGTAAGTGTGCACGGTATGTTATGTCATTGTTGCTGGTCAGCTGTAAGTATGTACATTTGTATTACCTATTTTTGTAAATAATTTTTTAAGTTGTGTTTGTTCCAAGCTGCTCTGAAACGTAATTAGTAATGAGCTTCTCTCAGTTTGAATTGTTTATTGCCTATTGACGCCTTTGATTAGTTTCCTGTATATCTCAATTCCGATGCCAATTCTTGGTCTCCGTAAGGAATTTCGTTGAGATAGCTTAAATTTGAGACTGAAAAATATCTGCATTCAATAGAGCATATCTAACAAACACTTCCTCAATTCTATTATATCCTTATATCCAAGGTATGCAGAATGTTGCTATTTTTTCCGCATGCTGCTGGCCCATACATTCTAAACGGTAAAACCCGATTCAAAGGGGCAATAACCGATTCGAAGAGGGAAAAATATATACCGAAATGTACCGTCTCGTTTTCAAAATATTTCTGAGCGTAGATGGTGTATTTCACCAATACGTGCGCGGTCACACTGTGCGAAGTGGTTGGTGTTGTTTGTGTGTGTGTTGGTAAACAACGAAGTTTCGTGTCTGTGTGTGCCAATGGCACTAGCCCCCCAACTGTAATTATTGCTCTTTGTTGTTGGTAGTGGTTCTTCCCGAACACAAGAATTGTTGCTAGTAGGTTTCGACCCAGTTTTAAACGCGAAGGCTTGAAAAGAAAGCCACCTGAACAGTCACAACAAACGCGAGGTGGTTGTCGAGTGTGGTGTTGTCTGTGGTGGTGTTGGTGTGTCTTGTCTGTGTGTGCCATTGGCATAGAAAATTTTGCATATACACATACAACACAAGCACACGCACACATGTAGAAAGTAAAAATAAAATAAACCTAAAAATAATAGACATATATATAACATACATATATTGCAGATACAAATAAAATTTATCGACTCACGGTGGCGTAGAAATTTGGAAAGTGCACAAAAGTTGCAGAGTACATAACGGTATTACAAACACATCGCTGCATGCATGTGTGCGTGTGGAGGAGGAGTCTCAATGGTTGTTTGATGTTCAGTTTTTGGAGCACAAACAACAATATTAGACGCGAACGACGACGACGCCGCTGGCTCGAGCCGTAGGAGTTTTGGAGTTGAAGCTATGACGACGCGTGACAATGTCGTTTCCAGTCGCTTGTCCAAATTGATGCTCAACAATGCCACCAGCAGCAGCACCACAAGCACCGCCACCACCCACAACGGCCAGACGCCTGCCTCCATGGTGCAATCACCCACATCGCCTGGAGAGCAATCCGAGTTGAATCAATTAAAGCGCGATGCTGATCCGCAGTTTTCGCGCTTTGCCGACTATTTTGTGATATGTGGCCTGGATCTGGACACGGGCCTTGAGCCAGATCGCTTTGCAGGTGCGACTCCATCCCAGTGATTGTTTGGGGAGAAGTACTAAAGACTTTATTTTTTTTTTAGGGGACAATCTGCACTGTTCTCCCCTGGATCGGGCGTACAAAAGCAAACCCCTGGCCCACTATCCCGAACATGTGGCCTGGAACCCCTTTGATGCCCATGGGATATGCATGGTAGGTCCCCACTCTCTCCATCCTCTATTCTAATATTCCATATTCATATGCTCCATAATTGAGCTCAATTGGTTGCCCTTTTCGATGAAAATTCATGCTTCGCTGGCGTCGTGGTCGTGCTCATTGATACGATTGTGGAGTGGGGTAGGGAGACGAGACTGAAGTAGCATTTTTAATTGATGCCACATTGCCATCAGCAAGCAGCCACGACGATGACTACGTTGTGTAGTCGACTTTTTCCCTCATTCCATAATCATCTTATCATCAAATGGATCTCTAGCCATCAATGGATTTTATTTATAACTTTGAGAAATTGTCTTATCTAACGATTCGTATATCTGTGTCTGTAGCTCTCGTTGCCCCAGGGCCTGCGCTTTCGTACCCAAAAACACAACATTGAGCCGAGATTCCATTCGTTCGCCACCACTCGGGAAGATGGCAAGCGATGCTATGGCTTCAGTCTGGTCTTCTACGAGGAGATACGTAATCGGAATATCTGCGGGGCCATCCACACGCTGCAGTCCATGTTCATTACGGAGCTATCGAATGGCCAGCAGACGCATTCGCTGAGTCGCGTCAAACAGGATGGTCCTGTGAGCCGTTCCCTGCCGCGACACTTTAAGGTGGCGGGACAGGCACCGCAGTCCGCACAAAGCTACTACGACATCAATAAGGATAAGTTGTATGTGGCCAAGAGCATTTCGCTTATTTGTCAGGCTCCCTATGCCTTTGCAGCGCAGATATTTCTCAAGAATCTGTACAGGTACAGTGTAGGCAGGAGCAGTAGGTTTTTCTCTGGAAACAGTATTAATCTGTTAACCCGTTCTTTGTAGATGTCTTCCACGTCAGCCTGGTGCTGGCATCAGTCTCGAGTCCTATGTCTACAACATTCTCTATGAAGTGATGCTACCTCAGCCAGGCAAGTCCATTCGCGTTTATTTGCCCCCCACAGAGCCGCATATGGCGGCTATCGCATTGATCCTGCAGCGTCCGTTGCTGGCCACGGAATTGCCGCTTCTCGATTTCCCTCTGCGTCTGCTCTTCAAGTATCTGGGCGTGGAGTGCGTCATACAGCTACTGACATGTGTGCTGCTGGAGAACCAGGTGCTGCTTCGATCAACAGGTAAAAAAAGGATGCCACATCGCTTTATTCCTCATTCTTGATTTCGGTTTCCTTTTCTCTTTTAAAGACTACCAAAGACTCATGATTGTGGGCGAATGCATAACGTCTCTGCTCTTTCCATTTGTTTGGCCTCATGTCTATGCCCCCATTCTGCCCGCTGCATTGCATCATTTCCTGGATGCTCCGGTTCCGTTTGTGATGGGATTACATGCCGGATGCGAGGCGGCGCATAAGATTGGCAGCGAGGCGGCCCTGTGCTTCGTGGACATTGACAAGAAGCTCATCCAGCTACCGGAGGAGATGCCTGTGTTTCCCCACAAGCAGGATTTTATGGCGGAGATCAGTTCGGTGCTGGACAAATTCGAGATTGAGCGAGATCGCGACCAGGAGCCCAGTCTGAAGAATGGCTATGCAGGGCGTGGCGGCAGTGTAGGAGGTGGCGGCGGCGTCGATGCCATGATCTCGAGCTGCACCTTGCCAACGGGCCTGCAGGCGGCACGACGCAGCAAGGAGCGCTTCCAGCAGCTACAGGAGACGGTGTATACGCTGTCCGGACCCGGGCAATCACCGGGTGGGGGACCCGTGGACTACCAACCGCTGACCGCGCATCCCTCAAAGATCGATCATGTGCCGCGGATTGCTGATTTTCTGCGCCGCAAGGGAGGCATTAGAGGCACTCAGGGTGGGTCGCCCGTGGGCAGTCCCACTGTTTCGCTATCGTCCTCCCCCGTGGGTGTTTATCACGATGTGGATGCAGTGGATGCCACCATGCCCGTACCTAGGCGCACGGAGAAACCGAAACTCTCGGTCGTGGAGCAGTACTACCAGGATCTGCGCATCAATAACTCTGTGAGGGAGGTCTTTCTCAATCGCTTTGTGCACATGTTCCATGCGTATGAGTATTTCGTAATCTATCCGAATCAGGCCAAGGACGAGTGGCTGTCGAATCGCGAAACGTTGCAGAACTTTGATAAATCGTCGTTCCTCTCGGATCAGCCGGAGCACCATCGGGCGTTTTTGTCGCGCTTCCTTGAATCTCAGATGTTTGCCACGCTGATTGATAATAAAATACTATCCATGTGGGAATCGCTGCCGGATGAGCAGCTCCAGCTGTTTGATCATCGCGTGAAGCTCTTAAGGTAGGTGTTTTCCCTTACCCCCTTAACCCTGAGATTAATGTTTTGTTTTCCATCTCTATTACGAAACAGGCGCCGCCATGGTGAGAACATGATCTGCGCCACCAGCTATGAGCCTTGCGTTCTCAGCCAGGACTCGCAGCAGGGCTTCGAGAAGCGTCTCAATTGCATTGACATCGAGGTGACGCCTCCCAGCGAGATTCTATCCAATCGAGCGGCATATTTTCGCAGCTTTCCGCTGCTGGAGAAGGGCGTGCTGAACCAGGAGTGCGCTTCGAGGTAGTCCCCTTCTCTATGATATGCATTTGTTTTTATTCCACAGCAGCACGCCTACCCGCCCCTGACCCCGCCCCAGACCCCGCCCCAACCCCGAGCTAACTCTTGCACTCATTCCAATAATAAACCTACCCCTCCCCAGCCCCCCCCTTCCAAAAAAAGAAATAAAAATGTACCTAAGCTCCCGCAAAGGCTAGCAAATTTATGATATTATCTAATGTTAGTTATACGACACCATATATACCATAGAAACTAGAAATATAGACCATAGAATGTATGTACAGTTTGTTCGCGGGGGAACTTCACTCCATTTCCTTTTAGTAATTTATTTGATTTTTCTATCACTTAACAATAAACTCTGCATTTCTCAAAGCCTTAATCGAGACTTTGTTT